TTTTTTTTTTTTTTTTACGTTCTACATCTTTTGTTACAAAATCTCATATGGTACTTCAAGGAGATTTTCAAATATTCGTAACAATTTTCCTGGCAGGTGCCTGATTATGCCATGAGTTTTGTAGGAGGAACTTCTTCAAAGTATGGTAGCAATTTCGATTTAGCTTTCCTTTTTTTCTTTTTTTTTTTTTCTTTTAAGACTCTTGACTTACATTATTCAAGATTTATTGTGTCACTCATTTCAGGCCATTTGGGCGCTTGTGGTGGGATGAGACAGTACCAACAGTTGTTACTCGGGCCGAACCTCATAATCAGGTAGGAACCTGTTAAATGTGGAAAAAAATGATAGCCAAATTTTATCAACTGTATTGATTTTTACTGCAAATTTATGTAAAACTTTACAAACTTGTTTCAGGCAATTCTGCATCCCCTTCAAAACCGGGTTCTTAGTGTTCGGGAGAATGCTAGGCTGCAAGGCTTTCCTGACTTCTACCGGCTACTCGGCCCGGTAAAAGAAAGGTAAATGACCTAATGTAAATGTTTTTACGTATTTTACAGCTTATTTTCATCTTGCAATCAAGTGCTAATTTTCCAATGGTTGTTGAATATATCACATATAAAGGTACATTCAAGTAGGAAATGCAGTGGCTGTGCCTGTTGCCCGTGCATTGGGATATTCTTTAGCTTTGGCTTTTAGAGGTTTGTCGGGTGAAGGCCCGTTATTGACCCTACCCGATGATTACCCGGCCGTGAAAGTCTTACCGGCTCCGGCTATTTTGATGGAGTGATTGTGAAATGTGATTGTGTTTTGATAATTTAATTCCAAAAATGGGTAAAAATAACTTATATTTATTTGGTGCAATTTAACCCAATGATGTGTGATTGGACAACTTTTGTAATTTTAGTAGTCAGACCTTGATTTGAATTGGGCATGACTTTTGTATTTTTAGTAGTTTAACTTTGGATTTGAACAGTAAACACTATTACATAATGCTACTACAATTTCGTTTTGTCTAATGAGGATGTTTAACTTGAGTTTGCTAATATCTCTTGCATTTATGATTTTCTATTTGCCAAATTTGTCCCTAATATCACGACCTCTATCCGAAATTTTAATTTATTCATGATCTTTTCACTTTTGCAAATTATATCATAAGTTTTAATATGTTGTAAATAGTCTAAAAATAATTATAAAAAAGTTGATGTGGTTGAACAACAAATTGAAAATTGTGATATATTTTGCTCGAGATATGCAAATCGGTGCATCAATTTGCAACAAACTGAAAATTATGATATGATTTACAAAAGTTATAAAAAATCGTGATTAAATTACAATTTCAAAAACATGATATTAAGGGCAATTTGACCTTTATTTTTTTTTTTTCGAACTGGTCGTTTTTATGTCTATAACTTTCAAGTGTGCTCTTTGTGATATTAATTAAGATTGTAAATATATTTACTTGAAAATCATTAAATTACTAAGGGCATGATTGTTTATCATCCCTACAGTAATTTTTTTTACTCTAATTCAAATTTAACTCAAATTTAACTCAACCTCACTATCTCCAATATTATTATATAATTAAATAACATCAACAAATCATTATTACATATCACATCAACTTTAATTCACTATTCATCCACTCAAATAATTCTAACTAATTTTAACTAACTATCACTTCCAATCATTTTTCTCCTACTTTACATCAAATCAACTTTAACTATTTTATTTTAAATACTATTTTAATATATCCACTAACAACTAACCATACAACTTTTTCTTAAACTTAACCATAATTAAAAAATTCTAGTTTTTTTACTATTCAAACCATAAACAATCACCCCCTAATGATACAAGTTCATGTAACTTCCTCTTTAAAGATGAGAAATTTCAAGTATTGTGATTGTACAATATAAATGACCAAAAAAGTTAAAACATGAAAATATCTATAAATTAATCGAAACAAGAAAAACACAGTGAAATCTAATGATGATAGGATTAAACAGAAGCAGAATACAGAGAAACTTCACAAACAAAACAATGCTAATAAAAATAACATGGATGAAAAAAACTTGGAAAATAGTAATAGACTTGCCAAAAGGAGTCAAGCTTGCTACAGACTGCACACAATTTGAAGAACCCCACAATGCATGGAGGAAACACTCGCCGCTTGCCACCCCATCGTAAGCCGGTACACCAACAGCCAACTAAACACCACAAGCCTCGCCAGTCGCAACAACTCATTTCATATATATTCCAAAAAACCCTGGCTCCTTTAGTTGAAACATTCATTATGCACCTTGAAAACCGCTAGTTCCTTATACAAGAACCCTTTATATGGAGCTGAAGAGCAAGTACAAAACCAGTCGAACACAAATAAAACCCCTCAGGGGATTTCCCCTTCCTCCAGTTCTTCTTCTTTGTTCATAAATAATTCGTCATTGCA